TTTCTGTTTATATTTACAAAAATTTTAAAAACTGTCATAAAAACTTGCTTAATTTTTTTTAGTTTATAAATTGTTGTCTCAGTTTGTAAATTTGAGGAAAAAACGTAAATTCAAAAAATGAATTTACGTTAGTTTTTAAATAGAAATTTAAAAATTTTATTGACAAATTTTTTTTTGAAATAACTTTTTTTTCAATGAATTTTTTTCCAATTAATACTAATCGATGGGGCAATTGATAATGCTATTTTAAACCTTAGAGAGGTGATTGTAATTTCTAAAATGTGAGGAGTGTCAATATAATTTACCTAGTGAGGGCAAAATTGGTATTTAAAAAAAATTAAATTGCTGAGAGAAAATCTATAATAAAACTTTAAATCTCAGAAAAGAAGATGGGGTGGTAAAAAGGTAAAAAAAAAACTGAAAACTCAAAATGGAAACACATTTTTTGTGTTTTCATTTTTTGGCCAAATTTATAAACTGAGACCACTGATTTATAAATCAAAAATTTACCAAACAAGTTTTATTTGAATTTTTAAAATTTTTATAATTATAAATAGAAAACAAAAAACGTAAGTATTACCAAACGACACCTCAGCGTTTTATTCTCACTCAACATATCATTCATTAAAAACATTAGGTTGATCTGCGATTGATACCATTTGATTAGATGACATATCTCTTTGAAAAAATTGGATTATCTATTCTCGAAATCATACTTATTGTCTATTTTTTTTTTTATAAAACAAATGTACTCCAATCATGTAGCTACCGATGTCCAATCAATTTTATTTTTTGTATACATGATCTTTTTTGTGAACCCAACAAATTGAATGGTTTAGATCATTAAAGTGGTCCGGAGGGAGATCACAATCCCTCAATTGGACCCATGGACAGGAGGGAAGCCTCGTATTTTTTTGATAATAAGAACTAGTAAGAAGAAATCATTTATTCTAAAAATATTTCATTTGAACGAGTCAGCTAGGCATCGCACCGTCGGCAGAAAGATACTTCATGTGAAGTTATGTGGGAGCTTCCTGCAATAAAGTCGGTCAATACCCCGATGGAGGAAATGTCTATTGAGATGATCATGGATGCTTAACAGAAGCACATCATCTGATATTTCAATCTGTGAAAGGGAAACTTGTTATTTCCTCTAATATTCTAAATCACAACAGCATTTGGTGGTTGCCTAGCAAAAGAGGAAAAATTAAAAAATTAAAAAAGAAGTGGGCGTGCAATTGATGGTCATAATCAAGGTTTTAAAAAGCGGCCGCAACCATTACGTAACGCCGTTACGTAACGGTTTTGGCGGTTACTGTCACTTGTTACAACCGCTTATGCGCTATGATTGAGATTTATCGGTGTGTCGGTCGTAGCGGTCATAACGGTGTCATAACAGCTATAACGGCGCCATAACAGCTATAACGGCCTGTTACACACCATTACGTAATTGTTCCAAACTGTTTCTTTTGAAAAAACACACAAAAAAAAGCTAAAAATGGAGAAAGAGAGATAGAGAGAAGAGGGAAGATAAAGAGAGAAAATGGACGAACAAGAGATAGAGAGAGAGAAGAAGGAAGATGAAGAACATATTATTGATTTGTTGAAACTGTAAGACCTATGTTATTCTATTCAGCTACTATCACTCAACTATTTTGTTCATGTACAATAATAATAATAAGTGTGGTCATTATTTATTTGACTTGGTTAAAATATGTATATGTGTATATATATAGGCTCTTATTTATTCTCTTATTTTTGTCATTGTTTATCTTATATATAATAGTTAGTGATTGATTGATTTTTTGTGTAATATAAAGTCATTAATTATTAACATAAAATGTAAAAAACTCAGTTTCTAGTGATTTAAAAATATGAAATATATTGAATCATACTTAAAAATTTTAAAAAATTGATTAATATTTATTTTTAACCCAATAAATATGATCATGGAAAAAAAATATGCGTATCGGTAAGTTTTTTTCAAATTGTGCGAAAAATAAAAAAATTCACGATTCCGATTACCGCAACTGTTGCACTACGATCTTTACACCCCGTAACTGCAACTGCGCCACCACTACCGTTACGACGATCGCAACCGCTTTTCAGAACCTAAGAACTAGCAGTCTCAATGTTCCATATGCAAGTTGTAGCATCAGCTTGACTGCTTCAAGTCTACTTTTAACTTGGAAACATTCAGACATGTGTACACATTTCACAAGTTGACAAGAGGGTCCATACTTCATAAGAACTTGTCAATATGAATAAGTCGTCAAAGCCTCAATCTTGGCCAAAAGAAAGATCGTTTGGAGTCCTTGAAGTAGGGACTCCCTGTTAAACCTAATCATAGTTCTGCCTAAAGTGTAATGTGATTCAAGTTATCAAATCTAGGTGACAGATTATCACACATTCTAATAATCATATCACATTTTGTAGAGGAATGTTGAGTCATTAAAGAGTGCAAAAGATAAATTTGTCCATAACATTTAAAATTAGGCAAATTATACCAGCAGTCTCTAACTTTTTTTTTTCACTTTGTGTGTGTTTGGTCACAATCCAAACTGATTGTTGTAGTTTCATTTAACTTGAAGAGAATGATTGTAGCAGGGATGGAGCCAAAAAGTACCTGTAATATATCCCTTATAAAATTATATTAGTAACCCTCCTAAATTATTTTAAGGTATCTAATATTTTTAATTTTTCAAAAAGAACCCCTCATATGAAGTTTTAAAAAAGGAGTAATAATATACAAATGTAATGCTTGTACAAAAATTCTTTACACATTGAGTTGGAATATTGTCATTTCTTCATTTTCAATCAAAACTAGGGGTGTGTGCAGTGGGGGTCGGTACAGTTTAGGAAAAAAATAGAAATCGTACGGCGGGTGGCGGATTGATAAAAGTGTTATTAAAAATTGTCATTTTTTCTATCAAAAACCGGCAATTCGATTGGCAAATAATGGCGGTTTTGGCTTAGCGGTTCGGGCGGATTAGCAATTTACAAGAAAACATAATTTAAATTATAAAACTTGAATCAAAGAGTAAAAGATCTAATTTATAAATTAACTAAAATAGTCAAAATTAAAATATTGTGTTTTCATTATGTGCTACCTAGACAATATTATGAGAACACTTTGATTAAAGTAAAATGGGTAAATTACACTGACACCCCATAAGGTTTATGTTCATTACAGTTTCCCCCTCAACTTTTGAAAATTACATCCCCCTGAGGTTTAAAGTTTCATTAGAGATTCTCTCCTCAGCCATTGACACCTCTCACCTTTTAGAAATTACAATCCCCTCCCTAAGGTTTAAAGTAGCATTAACAATTGCCCCCTCGGTTAGTATTAATTGGAAAAAAAAATTTGTTAGTAAAATTTTTAAATTTTTGTTTAAAAACCAACGTAAACTCATTTTTTGAATTTACGTTTTTTTCTCAAATTTACAAACTAAGACAACCATTTATAAACCAAAAAAATTATCAAACAAATTTTTATAATAGTTTTTTAAATTTTTGTAAATATAAATTGAAAACTGAAAACGAAATGATTACCAAATAGGTCTCAGATGGTAAAAATGTCGTAAAATTAACAAATAATTAAATAAGTTACCAATGTAAGAAATGACTTATCAAAAGATTCTTAGGTTATATATGGTTTGATTTTTAGAATTTTTTTTAAAAAATTAAAAATTAATTTGGTTTAGAAATAAAAAATAAAAAATAATTTTCATTTCGTTTAAGAAATAGCCTAAGAATCTTTTGATAAGTCAATTTTACGGCATTTTTACCATTTGAGACTTGTTTGGTAACCATTTCGTTTTCAATTTTCAATTTATATTTACAAAAATTTTAAAAACTGTCATAAAAACTTGTTTGATAATTTTTTTGGTTTATAAATAGTTGTCTCAGTTTGCAAATTTGAGAAAAAAATGTAAATTCAAAAAATGAGTTTACGTTGATTTTTAAACAAAAAACTAAAAATTTTACTAACAAAATTTTTTTTTTCAATTAATTTTTTTTTCAATGATTTTTTTTTCAACTAATACTAACCGAAGGGGCAATTGGTAATACTACTTTAAACTTTAGTGAGCGGATTGTAATTTCTAAAATATGAGGGGTGTCAATGTAATTTACCCAATGAGGGTAAAATTGGTATTTAAAAAAATTAAAAGGGCTGAGG